TTCTACAAAAGTAAACTCATGATTATGCATCATTTTCAGGTTCCAACAAGTTTGTGTTACTGTGTCAAAGAAAGAAGTCTCCAGTTAATTTAACAGTCGACAAGTCATAAAATTTAGTGAGGAAAAGAGATAACATTGCCATACCAATAAAACTGAAGGTGCTATTATTTGCCTTTTGATGCCAATTAGAGCTCTAGGAATAGAGGGAATGCTAAACCCAAATGAGTGAGCTAATTGAAAAAGGTAAATTGACTGTCATAAATGAAATTTCAGGGGAATTTACAAGTGGTCATCATTTGGAAATTGCTACGAAAATATTGTGCAGGATTCAAAATATAGAGCAAGCTAGAGGGTAGGTAACAATATTTTCTCTCTTTGGGCCATTTGCCCTTATTTCCATATTTGTATTGAGCAGAATAAGGACAAGACTAAAAGTTTCAAGGAAATAAGGAAGGAAAAAGAGCATACGTTAGCTTCGTAGCTAAGTAATTTTTCAGCAGTGCTTTCCGTTTCCATCTCCCTACCAGGCACAATAGAATTGAAAAGGATGCATGGCTGAGGCACACCCAAGAAATAAGTGGAGTGGAGCGTGACATTCCTAAGGCCTCTGCTAGAGTTCTGCTCACCACACCCTTCATTCTACACCACACTGAATTCCCCGTGTCCACCTTTCCAGAACGGCAGACCAGAATAGTAACAGTGCCATCTGAATCAGATTAAAATTAAATTTACCTTTTAGTATTAGCGGCACAGAATTGAGACTCTGGGGTATGGTGTAGCCATCTGAGTCCCCTCAAACCCTTTTGTAGGCACATGGAACACATTGGCTAGGCCAACTTACAAGTAATTACGACATTAGCACAGAGATCATTGTTTCTCCAAGTAGGATCCTCCGAACACCTACATAACTGCATATTTCTAACGCTTTATCATAGCCTAACTATTCATTGTAATCTGGATTCCTACTGAATCAGAATCCCTAAGGTAGGAGGCCAGGAGTCCTTATTTATAACAAGATGTGATTCCTAAGCATATTAAAGTTTGTGAATCACAGTTTAAGTTATTCTTAATAACTGGGATAATTCAAAGTCCTGCCACATTTAATTTTTTAAATTAGCATAAAAACATAGCCATTATACCCTTTTAATGACATTCACCAGTCTGTCAAAACAAATACCTGTCTAAAGTCTAGATTTTCCAGTCCCAAATAGGAGAATTTCATTCTCCCCCCCTTTTTTTTCCAGATTGAACATTGTCTTAATCACTTTCTTATCATTGAAATACAGTGCCTGATGCTCACAATTTAGAGAAGAGTTTACTTGGGTCCACGTTGTACAACATTCCACTCTCTCACGGTCATGTGGTTCAGAGAAGAAGCAGTGTAAAGGAAGAGCCTAATAGAGGGCAGCTACTCACTTCGTGGCAGCCAGGAAACACACACAGAGAAGGGAGGTGTCGGGGGAGGAGATAAGCCCTTGCAGATCACAGTGATCTGCCACTTCTGACCAGACCCGCCTTCAAACTACAAGTCCTCTATAATACTCCCGTAGTCCAGTCACCTCCCAAAAGCCCTGTCTATGAGTGCATGAGGAGTTGGTAGAACACCTAGATATAAACCAGAACATTTCACCCAGGCCCCTGAAAAAGCCATGCACATCTCTTTATGCTAAATATATTCAGTACGTCTCTAAATTTTGCCAAAACCCTAACAATTTCAGCATGGCTGAAAAGTCCAAATCCAAAATCTCCTCAAAGACTTAAGGCAAACTCTTAGGTGTGAGCCTCTGCGAAAATCAAAAAGAAAGGTAAACCCTTTGAACATTCATATTTGAAAGGGAGATAGGGGTAGAAAGGAATGCAGCCAAAGTAAGATAAAACCCCAGCAAGGGAAATATTAAATCCTAGAGCTCCAGGTCTCGCATTTGGGGTAAGCTGTGACAAGATGCAAACTCCAAACAGCTTAGGCAATACTGGCACTATGATGTCATCAGTTGTATTCCTCCTGGCTTCTCTCTTGGAGGCTGGTTTTGCTCACTGCCTGTGGGTTTCCTTAAATGTTCCACACTCCTCCCTTCTCCAAATTTGAGAACTCTCCACTGCAACTTTGGCATCACATTCACAGCTTCACAGGCTGCCATCTCACTGGTACCCTGCCTGGATTCCCAGGGCTTCTTCCAAAATCTTGATGGAAGTCTCCATAACCTCTTAATAGTTGCATGTAGCATGCATGTGAAAACAGCACTGCATAGATGATGCCAAGCCCTGCCACCAACTTGAGCAGTAGCCAGGCCATTTTGCATCATGGCTGCAGAGGCCTCTTAGTGCTTGGATGGCTGAGCATATGAACCAAAGCCCCGAGAATCAATTCCCTAGGTAGTCTTTCTGCAGAACATTTGCCCTTCTCAAAGCAAAGTCCTTTACTTTTGCAGGTCAAATGTCAGGGTCTTGCTGTTTCCCCAAATGCCTTCTAGATACCCTTCAAATTCTTCTGACAGATAGTACTTGGTAACTTTTTAATTCTAATCCTATCTTCACCCAAGCTTTTCTCCATTCTGTCTTTATAGGACACAACTTTACAGGAGCTTCTTTTCCAATAAAACTCAAAACTTTTAAAATCAGCCAGCTATACTCTTTGCTGCCAATTTTTGATGTATGACCCAAGAGTATCCAGGCCATTACCTAAATGTTGGGCTGCCCTGAAATTTCCTCTGCCAGATTATCTAGTCCAAAACCCTTAATTCAGTCTCCTAAAAAGGTTCAGGATATGGTCAAAGGTAGACAGATTTTCTGCCAGAGCATAAGATGCATGCCAGGAGTCTATTTGTCAATAGAGTCTTTCATAACAACCTAAACCTCTTGAGCCTGAACTAAATGAGCTGCATATATCTATGGCATTCTGGCCTTCTAACTTCTGATCAGAATCTCTTATTAAGTTTGCCCTACAGCATTCTAGAGTGGCTACTCCTGCAGCTGACATGTCTAAACCTTTCCAGACTCCTCCTATGAACCAGTTACAAAGGCTTCTGAATCCCATGCTCAAGTACAGTCCCCACTGTTGACACCAAAATCCATCTTAGTTGTGTTTCTTGTCACTGAAACTCAGTACCTAACACCCACAAATTAAATAGGAGAGGTTGATTTTAGCTGATGTTTCAGTCCACAGTTTGCTGGCCACGAACAAGAAGCACCGTGGCAGAAGGGAATGGTGGAGGAAGAGGTGCTATCCCTCCTGGAAGCCAGGGAGCAGAGAGAGAAGGGCGGAGTTCAGTCGGGTCCGCAGAGACTCACCTAGAAGCACAAGAGATTTTGAGGAGACATATAGACGTAAAACCAAGGAATTTCTCGAGGAGCAAACCTTGAGGCAGGGATTCGGGAGTAAGTTGTTATTTGGAAAGTAACCTCAGGAAACACTGGTAGATGAGGAGGGAAGGGAAAAGAAGAAGATAAGAAAGAAGAGTAACTAACAAAGAACACGTTCTGAAGCTACTTAACTACCATAGATAACTAGAGTTTAATTCCACCTGGTTGTCAGCACAGGCCATGCCCTTAGATTTATCCCAATAAAGAAGAAAAGAATAACTTCTATGAGTCTTTGATTAATGGCACTCCTAGGGGACACTAAGTCTTCTGTACCTGTCACCTGTTTCTTGCACAGTCAGAATATGCCCCAGAGGCAAGTAAAAGTACAGGGGTAAAGAGGTAAAGGGAACTGGAGTTGAGGTTATTATTTTCTTAGAAGGCCTTGCCAAGTAAAACTAATTGAAATAATCCCCCCCCAAAAAAGTGGAATCTTGTTCCTACCAGATGTATGTCATTCTCTGCTAGAAAAACCCTAATCACATCACTAATATTCCAGTTTTCACACCAAAACATAAAGTTATGGCTCTAAGAAGAGAAACAAGCTATTGCATTAGTTTCACTTTTTCACTTATTAGGTTGCATATATCAAATGTCTAAAAGTTGGAAACAAATAGTTTATTAAGTTAAGGTAGAAAGTTGAAATACACACATACAGAGTTCCTAGCCATCTGGCATTTCTGGTATGTTAAATATGAATTATTTATGACTTCCACAAATTTTGCTTTGCATTCAAATGGTTCAGTAGAGTTGAATTTGAACAACATGGTTATTACATAGTGAGTATCTACGAAGTGTGTATGTGTGTGGTTTAGACTTCAGCTAAAGTTTGGTGTCTTTTGCTGTTTGTATCTGTGCTCCTTTTAGGTTATTCATTAATGATCCAGAGAGGTCAGACATTTACAGTCTTGCTCTCTAATCTATGTCATATCTTTCAGCTGCTGCAGTATGTATGACACCTTCCTTCATAGGAAACTTAACTCTGCTAAGAGTTGCTTCACTTGTGGAAAGAGAGGTACAAGGGTAAAGCAGAGGTTGCAAACTGTAGGCTAAATCAATGCTAACAATTATTAAGAATTTTTGCATTTTAAATGCTGTATAAATCTGTAAATAATATCCTTGATTTTGCCTCTTGTTTTCCAAAACCAATAATATCTAATATTTGATTCTTGAAGAAAAAATTCACCAACCTCCAGCAATACAGCAGTGTCCAAACTATTTTCAGTAGCAGAACTTTCAGAAAGAAAGGAAAATATTGTTTTAAACCTCATTTAAAACAAGTAAGCATATTTAAGTTAACTTAAAATTTAATAATTGTTCACTTAAAATTTCCACCAGAAGCAAGTTTACTTTGTTGACAGGCTAGACTAAAGGAAGTGGCATGTTTGACACTGGGGATTACAGGTGACAATTGCAGTCTTACAGAGAATTCTGCCTCTGATTTATTTCTGTGGATTTTTTGTTGGATCAGTTCAAAAATAAAATCCTGTTTCAAGCAGATAAGTGATTATAAATAGTAACAACTTTTTAAACAATGCACCTTGCAATCTTAGGACTCTGAAATTAGACCAATCCTGATTCTTAAAAGAGAAATAGAAATTTTTTATTTTACTCGTATCTAAAAGCAGCTCTCATCATCAAAATATAGCAACCAGACGAGAAGCAATGACAATTTGGAATGAGAGATAAAACTGACTGTGTCTTCACACTGCCAGAAGTGACAGCAGCACTGACTGCAGAGCCTCAAGGAGCAGAGGACTTTTCCTCTGCAGTTTTATGTGACTGGATGTGGGTGAACTTGCATGGTAAAGAAAGAGGTGATGAACAGCCTTCTCATTCAAGACTATTCAAATATGTGTACAAACACAGTAGTTAAAGCATATTCTCAAGTCCAAGCAGAAACAAGGTAAGCTGAAGTCACAATGAGGTTAAAGTTAGTGTAGATCAAAGTTATATTTGATAAGAGATTAGATTAGAAAAGAATCTGAAAATTGGGTGTTAAAAAAATTACTATTGCAAATCCCTAATTTGCCCATAGTATAGATGATCAGTGTTTTGGGATACAAATTCCTCTATGATATATTTTATGTCACTGAAGTCTGAAGAGTGCTGAACCAGACTAAAAGAAAGAATATATCAAGATGTGTAGACATCTTGCTTTTAAAATAACTTTTTCAAACCCTTGCAGTGACTGGAGAGTCAGTGAAGAATTAAACAAAAAAATGCTCCCTGTCCTCAGGATTTAACTTCCATAGAAATACCTTGCAGATTGTTATGTGATTTAAGTGACCTAAACAACATGAAACTCCAGCAGAAGGTCTGGAACAGAAAGTGCTTAATGAACATTTCTATATTTGAATTTGACTTAAATGAACACACGGAATATTACATAGAAAAATATGATTGTTTGCTCTCGTCTAAGGTGGCTGTTTATACACTCCACAGATCACCTGGGTTCCTAGCCACTCATTAAGTGAAGATTTACTAAGTACCACCAGAATGGGCCACATACAGTCACATTTCCAGATCTGCTGGGGACAGACAGGACATGGCCGCCTGGACTAGAGGTCTGTGACTCTTAATTCCAACATAGTGAATACTCCTTAGTTTCAATATGTGAAGCAAGTTGGCTTTTTATTTTTTCATTTTAGGTAAAGTATTTATGCCTGACTGCTTCAGTTCAGTCTCTAGTTGTTCTTAAGTATTTATACTCCTTTTCTTGCTAATGGTGTCTCCTCATCCTTCATGTAGCTTCTGCGAGGGATCCCGCTGACATCCATATTGAGCATTATCTCCAACCCAATGGAGCTGAGATGTATTTGATTAAACCACACTTTGAGGTGGGTAGAGTTGATGAGATTTTCTTGACACTTGCCGTATTATTTCAGAGACAGTTCTAATGAAATTGTGAATGATTCAGGCTGGAAATTGGGGGGGGGATAATAGTTCATCTTCAGTGTTTATCCCTCCTTTCTATTTGAAGTTGGAAGTCAGGCATCAGGGTACTTGTTCCCAGATAGTTTTTTCTTCAGATTTAGAAGTAGAAGAACAACTGCCCTTCTATCTTTTATAGAATAACAGTTTATGGGTCAGGCATTTTGCTTGTCTCATGAGGTGAAGAAACGGGAGAGAAGGGGACAAAGCGTTTGAGGCCTGAGAGTGAGCCGATGTTTCTAACACCTGTGACGGGGACCCAGATTTGTGGATTCCACAGTGACTGGTACTTGGATCTCTCTGGAGGCGTGATGGATGAGTGTGCAGAGTCTGTGTGGACTGTAATTTCGCGGGCACCACAGATACTTGATGTACAGCCCTGCAATGAGGTAGTTCTGATGGGGTGAGGCATCCCAGAACTGTCTTAGATTGAATTACTTGCTGTTCCTGCAGATGGATTTTTAAAAATAAAGAACTGTGACACGGCATGTATATAGAGCATGCAAGCCAAGATTCACACTATCTGTAATTCCATCCCCCTCTTCAATAATAATAACCTAGGTGTTTTAAATGAATTCCTTTTCCCAATAACATTTTCCTTTTTCATAATATGTTCATAAAGTGCATGCTGTTGCTTCAAGATTTTTATAACTTCTGAACTTGTCTCATTAAACTTGTTCCTTCCTTAGCAATCACATTTATTCACCTACAGAATGTGAATAAAACTGACATTCATCCAACACAGATTTTCTACTTCTTGGTTTTATGCCCTCAGGAAATTGGTAAACCAAGGGGTAGGATGCATAAGATATTAGATTATATCTAAATGATTAATTATACAGATTTTAATTTTACCATTTAAATATATTTAATCCTGAAGAAAGTTGCTTAGATTAGATGCTATCACATTTGGATCTGGGAATGTAATTTTTTTACATTATTTTTCTAATAGCAATGTGGTTGGATATGTAATTTATCATCAAATTTTTGATGACTTACATATAATGTGAACATAGGTTGCATCAGTCTGTTTCTGTTAGCTGAAAAAATGCAGAAAAGTTTGCTTCACAGTATTTTGTGAAGTTTTATGTAGTATTTTTTTGCTTTCAGTAAGTTCACAAAGTCTAATGTCAAAATGTATTAGTAGGCTTATGGACATTTAATGATTTTTTTTTGTTGCATGACTAGCATCCTTTTGGGGGAATCATGAGACCTCTTTTTTACAGTAATACTGTTATGTCTTTGTGGGTTAGGTGTGGCTGACTGTTGTCCATATCTGTCTCAAATCTCTGACCATCATTCAGGTCTAGGCATATGGCCCAAAGAAAAATAATATGATCCTTCCTAGGATTATTTCCAGAGACAGAAAGAAAGATGCTGCCATTTCTTCATGACTTCTGCCTGTAAAGACCTCCAATCCCAAGCCTAGGCAGCTGGGAGATGTCATTTTATTCACACAGAAACTCTGCGTGTAAATGAAATTGTCCTGCTGTTTTTAAGTATCTAGCAATATTTGGAAATGCACTGCTACATTTTATAGTTATGTGAAATAATCTATGTCATACTAATAGTATTTTACCATCCAAAACTAATCATATTTTCACTAAAACTTAGTTAAGTGTGCTTTGAAGTCCAACCACAAGTAATGTAATCCAGGCCTTTTTATTTGCTAGTCATGTGACCTTGGACTAGGTACTCTTAACCCTTTGCTTCTCAGCATCTTCCTTTATAAGGACAAAGTAAAAGTATCAAGCTCCATTATTGTGTTGTGTTAACTGAGACTGCGCATGTGCACGTGTGTGTGTGTGTGTGTGTGTGTGTGTGTGAGAGAGAGAGAGAGAGAGAGAGAGAGAGAGAAGCCGTACAATCTGCCCCATAAGTGCCTAGTACATTCAAGTTATTATTCCAGTGAATAATATGCATGCTAAAAAGATACTTCATTAAGAATAGTGCGTTTAAAACAACCAAGCAATAGTATAAAAATGTATAAAGCAATACTTACCAAAAAAGAGGTAGAAAATATAAGCTATGCAAATTAAATGGAGCCCAAGGAAAAATGATGAAATTCTTAGTTAAAAAAAAATAGGAACATTAAAAAAAGTGAGGATGTAAATTCTTTTATTTGATGACACCAGTGGTGCAAAAATTCATGAATCACTCAGTGGCCCAGACATTCTATTTATTTTATTTTTAAAAATGGAATATTTGATTCTGGCAGTAAAACAAAAACTCTATGAGTAGCACCAAACCAGCAGATAGTCTATTGGCAGATTTTTTGTTAGCCATTTCAGTACCCTGGTCATAAATTTCCCTTAATTCTTTTTCTAAGGGTAGTGTTAACAGAATTATATAAAACTTGAATATTAAGTTTCCAATTTTCTGAAAAGTTTGTACACGTAGAGCGGACATTTCTATAAACATTTTGTAGCAGATATTTAATGGAATGTAGTTCCAGCCTAGGGATTTTAATACTTGTCTAAGGCAAGTAAAATAATACATAGTAGCAAATAATCTACATGAAAATAAGAAAATTAATTATATGGTAGCAATTATATTTACATGATAATTTGTATTAAAATTCTGTTGTTTCCTTTTAAATATAACTAGTCAACTCCTAGGCACAAGTGAAAATGTAAGACTGTACCCTGGATAAAAAATAATATAATAGAAAAAACAAAATAAACTCTCAAAACTTTCTGACAACAACAATCATTTCATGACCAATTAGTTGTAAATGCATTCACCAATTCTGCAAATATTGGTCTTTTAAAAAACTTCAGGTAATTTTTATTAGCTTTTCTTTAAAATAAATCGTAATAAATATGCCGGAATGGAAAGAGCAAAATATCATAAAAGATGGAAAATTCACAACTGTGTAATAAATGCTATGAGTGAAATAAATGAATACTTTTATTTGAATACTAATCATTTCCTGCTATGTAGTAGCAGCATAACCAAAATAATTTAAAGAAATATTTAAACAGTGTAATCCCCACTTTTCTCTGCTGTAGGAGTTGTATGCTCCTAAAATGCAAGAGTTAGATTGTATGTAATTATGTGCATCCAGCCATTGTTACTAAGCTCTTTAAAACCACTAGATAATTACTGTGATATTAAATTCACACACAGACTGCCCAGATGTCCGAAAGAATGCAGAGGTTCTTTATTATCTGTAATTCTTTAAAGTCTCCATGAGGAGAAACAGGCATGGTATTGAAGGGGAATTTTAACAATAGCTCATTTTCTTTTGTTTCAAACAGTGCCTTTCAATTTAAAACAAAATCTCTAGAGCATTAATACACTCTCAATTCTAAATTCAACTGCCTATAAGACGCTTCCTTTCAGTTTTCTTACTAAAATAGTACCAGGGTAAAGAGGAGACTTTGTAGTTGTTAAAGCGGAGGGTAAGAGTTTCCCTAGTCTTGCCTGCTCTTTTATCAGCCTTTATTACAAAGAATTGGAAAGAGTGCTGCAGTCCTTTGCACTCCTCCCCTACCACTATCTTGTCCACCTCAGTGTGCAGAGAAGTCAGCGCATATGTGGTCTCCAAGGCTCCAAACACAGCCCAAGGCAAAAGCAACGCCATTTTCCTCTTTCCTCTGATATCTGCCCTTATCAAACATGGTACTGGCATGAAGAAAGGAAGTCACAATACAGGAATCTCACCTCTGCCTCTGCAATCTCTCGTGCATTCTCCTTCCCTTGTCCAAGGTCAGTAAAGACAGCTGTTCCTTTCAGCATGACAATGACTGCCCCTAGGTTACTGTCACTTGGTTCTATTCCTGCTTTATAGTAAAATCCTGTGAACTGATTAGTAAATTCTGGCCTCAGATAACTTAGTAATTGCCTCCTTTCTAATAGCAATCCCATTCTGCACATGAAAGCTGAGCATTCGCCCCTTTTGCCTTTTGGCATATTCCTTGTAAAAATCGAATCTTAATGTGAGTGGAAAGTGGAGCGTGAAGAGTCACACACAAGGAACTTTAAAGAGACAAAAACGTATCAATGCACTTTAAAGTCTGTTACAGTTCAATTAAAATACATCAGTTCAGCATTTATAAAAAAAAGTACTGAAAGTTCACACATACATTGTTATGATTAGTAATAACATGAAGTTACATGTGTTGAAACAGATAAAAGCATACATAGGTAAGAAAAATAATGTACAGTCTAACACAAGCATAACCATCTGAAAATAAGGAGTGAGGAGAGTATCTTCAGAGGATATATGAAGATGTTATAAAAATCTGAAGATGTAACTATACTCTAGAAAATATTGGGAAATCTAAATTCTAAACCTTTTTAATAATATTAAATATAGCATACGTAACAACTAGGCTAACCTGTTAACAATGGATTGAATATAATACAGTTTTACTTAGGAAAGCTGTCAAAGGAAGATATTCAGATATAGTGGTCTGTTCCCCAGAAAATTAAGTCCTGCAAACCTCAGGACTGTTTCATTAGAGGTGGTAAAAGATGGAACAATTGTGTCAGACATTGTGGTGCATGCTTGTGTTCCCAGCACTCGGGAGGCTGAGGCAGAAGGATCGCTGCAGGTTTGATGCCAGCCTGGATTACACAGTGAGCTCAAAGCCAGCCTGAACTGCACAGGGAGACCCTGTCTCAACCCCCCCACTGAAAAAAAGATGGAACAATTCGTCTCACTCCTTAGAGCTTCTCTTGGTGCACTATCCGTACCTCCTCTTTAATGTTGTATGAATTTTCTATGTGAAGCTATGTTTCTAAAACACAATAATCAGTTGAAACTTGTGACAGAATTTGAAGAATCATCCATAGCCCAGAAGTAGAGAGTGTGGCTATCTTTCAGAGATGGATGAAAAGGCTAGGGAAGGTACTTCTTATTCTGAGGGAAGTGGACACCATCTTCCTTCACTTGTATAAAAGACAGATGTACTGTGTTCGGTGGCAAGGTGAAATTTCAGTTTTTTGCATGACGCTTTGTATAAATGCTGCCTATTCAAAGGTGAGTTTCCTAGTTGCATTAGTCTATTTTGTGTTGCAACAACAAAACATCTGAGGCCGGGTATTTTATAAAAGAAGAAAGGCTTATTTATTTCACAGATGTGGAGGCTCATGAGATGACACCAGACCCCTAGTCAGGCTGTCTGCGTCCTGTCATGGCAGGGAAGTGGGGAGGGACTGACCACGCGCCACTGGGCCAAGGGCTCGGGGTGGCCTTGCTTCGCAACAACCTATTCTCACCAGATCTAGTTCATTGGAGCATCCTCCCTTCTGACGTGCGGCTGCCCTTTTAAAGGTTCCACTGCCTGAACACCACCACCCCGGAGACCAAGCTCCCACACAAGACACACGAGTCTTTGTGACCACACTCAGACCACACAGCGCTTCTCTCTGTCTCTCTCTCTCTCTCAATCTCTCTCTCTCTCTCTCTCTCACACACACACACACACACACACACACACACACAAGCATCCTTGGTATTCACTTCCAGCTGTCGGGGCTGCCATGCGGGAGCTCCTCTTTGGCTCAGCTATTATTGTGCCCTAGAGAGAGACTCAAAACAGTAAGAGGGAAAAGGAACTCGCCCCATCCTGTTTGCCTTGTGTTTGCGTCCTGTTTACATCCTACTCTCATAACCATTCTCTTATCAGCTCTTTAAATAATATTTCCAACCAGGGAAATCTAGCAGTGTTTGACTCTGTTTTTTGTTTTTGTTTTTTTCACCCCAACACTTTTAGAATCAACCTCATTATTTACCATCATCGACTGCACTGGCCACATAGAAATTAGGTTGAGCACCCGGTAAGCCTCCCCTTTAAGCTTCTATTTTAAATTCCCTTGTCTTCCCTAACCCACACGTGGTAGCTCATTCTTACAGATGATAGCCTTGTGATACACTAGGGGTTCTTTCCTTTTTGTTTAAGTAGTTAAAATTACTTAAGTGACATCATCTTCTTTTAAAAAATACCAGACTGACCCAAACAGCATATTTTTGTGAATAATCTATGTGTGCTCAAAAATAAAATATTTGCTGTTATTTTGGGGGTTGTAATGCTGTGTATAACAATACTATGCACCAGATCATTTAATATATATATATATATATATATTATATAAATATAAATTAGTCTAAAAATAAGAAAGCAAACAATTGTTAGTAGTGAGGTAATATAACCTCTATTTTACTAGGGGGGGAAATAGGAAAAGGAAAAAAAAATCAATTTACCCAAGATTGTGCAGCTATTAATTATTGGGGCCGGGATTCCAAATTTAAAACCTGTCACAGTATTACTCTGAGGTTCCACTAGTGTCATATATTTTTGGCTCTCAGGTCCTAGAAATCAGGGTTCAGTGCAAGAATTGGAAACTGTGCTGATATTTTAAGCAGCAAAGGATTTATGGGCATGACAAGGATTTTACAAAATTGTTGGAAGAACTAGGGGAATAGAGGTGTTATTGAACTTTTGCCTTCAGAATCATGCTCCTGGAAGTGTAAAACAGAATCCAGGAAATTGTAGCTCTTATCTATCATTCTAGAAACTGTTGCCATCCCATCTCTGATGATGACGCAGCCTCCTACTTTACACTGAGATGCCAGCTCTCTTCGTGCAGCACTCTTTCCAGACTTCCCTGCCTTGAGACCAGTGATTAATATCCAACCTCTGCATGTTCTAGGGATGGAAGGCTGAATCGTGCTCCCTCTCGATGTGTCCATTACTTCATTCCAAGAGCACAAATATGCCACTTGGTATAAAAGAACGAACTTGCACATGTCAGTAAACTAAGGATCTTGAGATGGGTGGATTACCCTGAAGTATTTGAGTGTGCTCAGTATTCATAAATTTTATTATGAGAGAGAAGCTACAGGATAAGATTCAGACAAGAAGACTGGAAGATGCTGCTGTGCTGGCTTTTCAAGTTGGAGAACAGAGTCATGAACCAAGCAATGCAGAACACCTCTCAGAGTCAGAAAAGGCCCAGAGCACAGGGATGGAGAATCCCCCGTGAAGCCTACAGAAATAGTGCAGCCTTGTATTTTAGGAATTTTCAAAACTCTAGAAGAACATATTTAAATTATTTTAAGCACTAACTATGTGATAATTTTAGAGCAACAGTCACAAAGTAAGTATACAATCTGATGCGACAGTTTCACTCAGAAAGAATTGCAAGATTTTGCTAATTATATGGAGAATTCTAGGTAATATGTGTAGAATGTCCCAGCTAATGCCATGATCCTTTGTTTTTCTGTTTTGTTTGTTCTTCAATATTTATTTTCATTAGTACATTTTTGTAATACCTAATGATGACATTCCTGGTCAATAACTGGTACATGTACCTGTACGTGAAAATATCTTAATTCTGTTTTTCAGCCCCTTTTGCTTTCTGCCCTCCTCTCCTCCCCACATCTTTTGATCCCCATCCCTTTTGCAAAATATCTATCTCTCTATATTCTATCTTTTATTTTGGTCTTTATTTATATTTTGAATTTCTTATATAAGAAACATCTTGTGATATTTAAGCTTCTACATCTGGTTGATTTTGCTTACCACTGTGATCTCAGAGTTCATCCATTTTTCTACAGACGAATGAGTGAATCCTTCTTTATGGCAGAGTCATTTTCCATTGTAATTTGGCACTTTAAAAGCCCAGCCTTAAATACCCATTTCAGAGCAGGCTGTTAGTGAGTCTATAAGCAAAGCTAAGGCAGCTCAGGAACGCAGAGGAGAAGTGACATCGACCAACAGTGGAGGCTCTTCCAGAAGATGCGTGGGGTTCACGTTCTGACTCATGTAACGCCGGCTTGACTACAACACCCCAATTCTCAAGGTGCCCTGCTTCTCAGGCAATGCCCTAAAGACCGTGGATAATTCTGTGGCTGCCGGAGAGGACTGTGTGATCTTTAGACCCTATCCAGGCACATTTTCTACTGCCCATAAGCTTTCGGTTCTGTTCTTCCCCAACTATGCTGTGGTTTTCCCACTCAAGACATTGTTAATCCACTGTATCCAACTTTACCCCGCCCATCATGTGGATTCCACTGTCCACTTAAGGAACGTTCATCTATCTTTTAAGATAAAATTCACACTTAATTTCTTTTTCTTTTTAATTTCCTCTGTGAAGCAGGATCACTGTGCTGGCTAATCTACCACTTGCATGAGTCTGATGAGACAAAGCACACACTACATTAAGTGAGGCAGCTTAATTATAGAAAGGCAGCGAGGGACAAGTGAAGCCTAGGGTTCCAGACTAGCACGCCGCTCCCTGACAAATCCCTCCGCGCCCAGGCCCAGGATTGGAGAAGTTCTGTCTGTGTGTCACACCGCACATGAGGGACCGTGAGAGCCTTCTGTGGGGGACTTCACGCCTGAGAAGCCACTGTGATTGCTACGTTACTGAAGGACGTCCTGTCCTAGGAGGGTGAGGACGACCCCCAGGCTGTTCACGTCAAACTACTAAATTTTCTGCAGTTATCCTGAGAACACAAGCAAGAGGTGGGAGAGCTGGGTGTGCCAGGGCAAGCCAGGCTTCTGTCCTGTATCCCAGTGTTCTCTTTGGAGCCATCTTTACCTGTACTTATACTTAATATCCATTATACTTCATGTCCATCAAGTTATTTTAGTGGATGATTATATAGGAGTTTATAGCTATTTACTACTATCCCTTTTTAAGTGAACTTAGTTACTGAATTATGCTTAACAGTGCTTTACAAAGGGTAAAAAGTCAATAATTTATGGCTGAATGAATAAAAGTGGCATGATAGCAGTTAGTGGGTTTTGTCAATTCCTAAATGAAAGAAGCATTCAGAGATGTTCTAAATTTCTGTAGTAGGATTGGTTGAGGTGGTAAGCTTTCAGCCCAACATTTTATTTTACTTTACAAATTACATTGCTTTACACAGTGTTTTAAATTTCCTATGGAAATAATCATCTCTGAAAAGCATGAATGAACAATTGAAAATTTGCTACAATTATAAGATGGAGGAAATTAAACTCAGTAACAAATAAATTGGTAAATATCCATTAGACATAGTTGGCCTCTTTCTTTAGCTCTACTAGTGATTTTCTTTTCACTTTGGTACAGCATTTGCACTCCTCTATCCTTTCCCAATTTTATTTGACAGAATTACTTCCTTTTTTACATACAAACATGGGAAATAGCTTGACACTCTTTTTACCTCCTTAATAAGCTTATCAAAATATACTAGTCAAAAAAGGTATTCTTCCTGCACTTAAAAAATTTGTTACAATAATTGCTTACTTTTATACTTTTTGTTCCCCCTCATACCAGGGATCAAACACAGGACCTTGCACCTGCCCTGCAGGTTCAGCACCATTGAGCTACATCTCCAGTCTAGTTCTTGACTTTAAAAAATTTTTTTTCTTTTTATTGAGGTTATTGGTACAATCTAGATACAATACAATTACATTCATCATTGGGATTCTGTACCTTTACATAATAGGTCTTGATTCTCATTTTTCCCCTTGTCCCTGCCCTCCCTTCACCCCCTCTTCCCCTCCCCATTTACAAACACTTTATTTCCAGTTTTTCAGTTTCTCATATTTTTTTCCTCTCCCTTATTACCTTTCCCCCACCCTTCCCACTTTCCCTACACCTTTAGCCCTTTACTTCCTATTTCACATTATTAATTGTCTCATTAGGATCCTGTGTACTAGTATAGTTTTTCACACCAAAGAAACTATTTGGTATTTCAGTTAAAGAAATCTCTGTATGAACATTAAAAATAGGGAATCCTAAAATAAAACTAAAAAGGAAAGTAAAAGAGAAAAGGCAATGATGTAACATCAAAATAATTCTTAATTCTGGAGATGAAAATGGTCCCTGAACATATTTAAATTGCTTCTCACTCTTATAGTCTTATCTTATTCTTTTTTCATTATTTAGAGAATACTTTATTAGTTTCTGTAATCAAACCCATGTAGATATGAGCTTACATATTTAGTACAATGTGTTACCCCTGTACACAGGGGGAAAAAAAAAACATAAAAAATAAAAATAAATGAACATTTCTAGACCGATATGGTTGTCCATTTCTGTATAATGCCAAGTCAACACTGTAAATTGGGATGACTTTTTCTAAAGTTGGCAGCACCGTTAAAGTTTCCCAAAGTTCTTAACTTTTATACTAAGTTGATGTAAGTTTATATGCTTATGTAAACTTATTTTATGTAAGTTTATATGCTTAGAGATGTACATGCTTAGAGATGTGTATGTTTAGAGAGGATGTATACTGGTTATATAATTTTATTTGCATTCTGCAGTCACACCTTAGTTACGTTTTGAGACATTTTTTCTTCCTTTACTATATCTCAATTCTCTCTAATAACCACAGAGATCTTTGATATGTCAATTCTTTCCCTATCCCCAGTTCCCTTCCTTTTGTAGTGAAATTAAGCTATTTCCATTTCTTTGCACTTTTAATTACAAAATTTAAAAATTTGGGGGTGAAGAAATGCTGGTTTAGCACATACAGGAGTTTACCATGCTTTGTGTTCACCACAAAGTGCTGGCGCAGTTGCCACAGTAATGGCGAGGATCGGAATAAAGAGCAGGGGAGTCACGTCAATGCCGAGGATGCACAAGGTAAGAGGAAGTCAGATGTGTACTGGAAGAAGTCGCTTATTTGTACGCCAAAGAAAAGAGCAGCAAGCAGCTAGAATAATAAATTCAAGAAGCTATGGGTTTTCCTCCTAAATGATAATAATTATTTTAAATCAATAAATCATCAATAATTATTTTAAAATAAAATCTAAATTTTGCCTTTGAGTTATAGTAAGCAAAGTCACATCTGTGAATTTGTAAGGTTTTTAAGTTTGCTGTAGAAGACCTCATGTATCTTGCGCTTCAAGGAAAATACAAATACTACTCTGTTAGCTACTACTTTTATTACCCAGTCATTTCTTTCCTTTGTGTTTTAATGAAGAAAACACAACAGCCAAGTAAATCGACTTTATCTTCTTCACAAAGCATGGCTGAAATGACATACTCAATGTCAAGTCTACTTCAGAGTTGCCCTGGAAACAGGAAGAGCAGGCACAGTTATTCCTTAAAGAAGTAAAGCAGATAAGAAAATATTGATCTCAAACCTAGAAGATTGAAATTCTAAAAATCCAAAATGGTGACATAAAAATGATTTTTTGAGCATGACCTAAAAATAAACACAGGTTTAGAGAGGATGCAGTAAGGAGTGGGTGAAGATACAGGTAATGAAAGAGTAAAGAAAACAAAGGCAGCCTGGGCCACCGCAAATGACCCAAGTCCCCCCAAAGTACGTATAAGTGAATTTGTTTTTAACCCCAAAGCAATCACCTGGCGTGTCTCCAGTGTCCAGGCCTGTACCTGGACAATCACAGAGGCTGCGTTTTCAGGCCAGAAATTTTATTTAATGCCTGGAGAGTACAATACTATTGAAATTGGTTATATTAAAAGAGAAAGAATGAAATATTCGTGTGTATAGCAGGAAGGTAACTATTGGCAAAACGGAACTCTGCAGTTGCTATTAACAGAAAACAAAAGCTAAAAAAACTGATTAATCTAGCACATATGGAGAAAAGATAAAAGAAGAAACACTATAGCAAATATGTTTTTAAACTATAAAAACCAAAAACTTTTTTCTTACATCTGTTCTATTTAATTTTTGTAGTCACTTTGTACATATATTACAACAAATATTTCTATTAATTTTAGTCATGCAATAATCATTTACAAATTCCTCCCAACTATGACATTTCTCCTAAATAGTATTTTCAGCTTTTTAAACAGTAAGTATCTTTGAAGAAAAAATATTTTTAAAAAACCATACATCCATTAACAACACTTTTAAGAGTGTACTGATTTATGTTGATAATAAGATCCTAAACTTCTTCTGTTCTTCTGAATATTATCATCTTAACATAATATTTCTTAATGTCTACTACATATCTTCATTATTACTAGATCACAGACTTCAGGTTCATCAATGACAGTGAACTAAACAAAGACAGAGCACATATAGGTATTACTTGAAGCAAATTTTCCAGGAACTATGTCACTACTTTTTATAACTCCCAAATATTTTAGCTCCAGATTTTTCATTGCACGGCTATCTCTAGTTC